GCGCTACTCGAATATGTATGGCTGCTGCTGCTGCTGTTGTCCACCGCTTTCCGTCACCACGTCGGAGAGCAATAAGCCACCGCGCTGCGTCACTGGCGGATACTCAGCCTCCCGACAGGCGGGCGTCAAACTTGTTAGGTTTTGTCCACTGGTGAAATTTTACCGAAGTCGGGTATTCCGAGATCCTCACGCTACACAGAGCACGGAACGTCTAATAGTAGTTACAAGAAACATTCAAGTAAGGTAGGGAGAGATAGGGATGTATGTATGAGACAACTGTTCAGACTAATGGGTGCTTTACAGATTTTCCACACCGGCACCGGCACAGAGTCCTGTGGGTGCCATCTACGCCCCATCGTCGGGCGTAGATAGCTCATGGTCATATGGTCATACACATCATGGATAAATCTGGTGAATTTCATTTTTGGGGGGGTGTAATTTTATCGTTTGTTGGCCGTTTGGCATCCATGCGTCATGATTCAATGCTTCCCAGGTCTTCGGCCTGATGATTCTCCAACTCAACGTGCTCGGGCTTGGGCGCCAAAGCTACTATTTCTAGTAGCAAAACCCAAGGCAACGAAAGGCGAATATGCCGCTTAAAAATGACCCCATTTCTGTGGCACATGACTATATATTCGGTTCGGGTATCATCTTGGCGCATGGCCTCCCGGACGGGAGACTCAACCCACGCGGTACCGTGGGTTGCCCCTTGGGCGAATGACTGCGCAACGAAAAATGGCTTGGGGATTTGCACATGTGCATGATTTTTCTGGACAGACCAGCTCATCTCCCACGGGGTGTTTCGCTATTCTGAGTATGTATTATGACATCACACGCACGGCTCCGAGCAACCACTTTTGCAGGACTAGGGCCACAGCTTGAGGGCCACGCTGGCAGCATTGAGAAGGGAAATGAGAGATGATGATGGTCAGTACGACGTTGCTTACCCCGGTTTAAAGTATTGATCCGGCTCGGTGCCCCGACATTGATGTGCAGCAGCCGGGGAAAGGGGATGAAAGGATGGTATTTTGGTTCTAGCCTGGTTTCCATGCATCCAAGGTTGGGCGATTCCACGAAGTGAAATGATACAAGACTCGTAACATCACGGGCGTCAGAGGTTTGATCCAATTCGCCAACGCTCACTGAAGCTTGCATTAAAAGTTGATATACGGAGTAGCTGACAGCAGGAGGGGTGGAATAGAGCAACTCATATTCCAGAAGACTGCTATTATTAACACTCAGCTGCGCCGATAACATTCGTATACCACATGTACAATGAATATGACGTGACGTGTATGTTTTGATAACTGACACTCGAAACGGCATGTTCCCGTCCAACAGAATCATTTCCCTTGGATGTAGGAGGCCATCTCTCCCACGGGGGGGGACAATACCGAATCCCCCCCGAAGCTCAATGTCACCGGTACACGTGGTTAAAGGGCATAATTAACGGTTGCTGGCAAGTCCATTGTCCCCTTGCCAACGGGCAGCCGACAATGGCCCATTTGTCATATCCATAACCAACCTTAGTTAACACTTGATCCCTCAGAAACATGACCTTGTCCGCATCGTCTTTTTTGATATTGCAGATTCATGGGCCCCTGCAAGGAAGGGCACGGTAGTCCCGCTTGGACATGATAAGTCGGTGAACGAGGTGCAGTCTCCCGATCCGCAAACCCCAGACTCCCGGCCTATGATCTGGGGCGATATGTCACCGTCCTCCCTCGTTTCCCCGTAGCCAAGGACATGCGAGAAGCTCCGAACCGGAAAAAAAAATAAGAAGACAAGAAGATAAGAAGAAAGTTGAGCCCCGAAGCCGGAAGACGGTGAAGGCGAAGAGGGGGTCGGTAACCTTTTTTTTTTTTTTTTTCTCACTCCCACGGTTTTTCGGGGAGACGAGACAAGGCCATTGGGCAAGGAACGGCACGGGCCGGAAGCAAGGGGGGTTGGTTACCTCTTGTTTTCTCTGAGATGGATGGATGTCTTGGGAGGGGAGGAAGTCGGTGAGGGTGGTTTTGTGAAAGAGATGATGGCTTGAGATGCGATTGGTTCGGCAGCAAGTAACTTTGCTTTCGGGCATGAGATTTCTCATGATTTTGAAAGATGGGATTCAAAGGTTGGAACGTGTTGGAACGTGTGTAGGGTAGTTAGTTGGGTCGGGAACTGGCGGCGCTGAGGACAAGCGCTTTGGGGCTCGTGTGGACATGAATGAGCCATTGGCATGGTAATTCGATTTCGAAATACTCTTGTCATTTATATCGGGAGGGGTCGTGGTAGATTTTGGACGGAATTTTGGATGTGTTGAAGGAGGTATCCTTGGAACGGGGGGCGTGTATGTATTTGTACGTTGGGGAATCGAGGCGACACAGGTCAGGATTTCCACAACAGCAATGTCAAGATAAATGTCACTTTATATCTTTACATTCCAGTACGCCCCATCACAACGTCTATCCCCCGCCAATATTTGTAAATCAATACGAACCGATGCCTGCTTATATCTCCCTGGACCGCTGGTGGAAATGTCCCAGAAGACCCCACAAGGCTCTTTCTCTTTCTATTGCAACGACGGCAAAAAACAAGCACGGCAGATGAAGAAGACGAAAAGGAATGGGAAAGAGAGTAAGAAAAAAAAAAAGCACAAGACTGGCTTTTCGATATAAAATAGATTAACAAAAACAACAATAACCGATATTTGTATGTATATACATACAGCACATGCAACTTACACTCAAGCGCTGGCTCCCCCCCATGTCCTTCCCCCCACTTCTCTCCAGACCTCAAAAAAATTGTGGAGGGGCAACGGCCAAGCTGACCAACTACAGACCGCAGCACACTTGAGCCTCGAATCCACCCCGGGAAAGCCTCGCCCAGCCTCAGCCTTGTGTGCCGACTTGGGAAATGCAGACATTGACAACCGAGCAAGGCGGAAAAAGGCCACGCTCGAAATAAATTCCATATTCCCATCACAGCAATCTGATCCATCTAACCCGGGCCGTTGCAATCGCCAGCCGCCAAGTGAGCTTCATCTGTCCGGTCAAGGTCCAACTTTGGCTCGTTGCCGCCATTGCACACTCGACACTTTGGTTTCCTCACGGGGCGACCAACGGGACGCAGCTTGAAGCTACGTCAATCCTCCACCTCGACTCGACTTCATCGAGGGCAGCGGTACGCATCGCAATTGCAAGCGAACCGAACCCAACTTCACCCCCATCATCGAGGCCAATTCGAATTGCCAGTCGTCGCGTGCCCCCGGACGATATTCCCCATCCGTCCGCAGGTGCAACCCATCGTCGTTGCCGCCACCTCATATTTCAATTTTCCGCAACCGCAGCCCTCGGTCCCGTCACAACTCTTCCTCAACCCAACCATGTCGCAACAGCCCGCAACGCCAGTCAAGGTGCCGTCCGCCGTGGCAAACAACACACCCGCAACACTGGACCCCGACCTGCGCTCACAAATAAATACCGTGCTCTTGCGCGACGGCCATGTCACAAAGTAAGGCTATCTATCCCCCGGCCTCCATCCACTACCGCGAGAGGACGGGAAAAAAAAAGACTAACCCCCCCCAAAAGGATACAAGACGCTCTCCTCCACGCCCTCAACTCCAACTCATCCAACTGGCCGACACAAATCCAGTCTCACGCCCTGACGCTCCTCCGCTCCGGCGAAATCACCACCTACCCAGCGCTCCTCCGCCGCATCCTCGACGACGTCCGCGAAGCCACCACGTCCAACTCCTCCTCCACAAACGGCAAAACGCCCAATGGGGACGCAAAAAAGGTCAACGGGTCAACTACCCCGTCCGCCGACAAACCAAACCTAGCCGTCCCCGCCGCCGTCGTCGAGGAAGCCCTCCGCGTAACGAGGGAAAGCCTAGAAGCAGTCTGTGAAATCGACGACCACGGAGCAAGTTGACTCGTCGCCCCGGCGCCTCACCACACCTAAAGAGCAGCTGGGACAAACTACGGATGCCAAAGTCGCCCCAGACATGAAATTACCAAGAGGGCTTCACCCGCCCAGTTGGAGCAGCAAAACTCGCCACGGGACGAATCAACTCAACGAACCACACCAACACGAATGTACAAGAAGGCCCATGGCGCTGTGGGCCAAGTAGCGCGGAAAGGGAGGGTTAATAAAGTCAGCAGGATATCACATCATACCCTTTTTCTATATTGTTTTTTTCTTGTGGAAGCCAGAAAACAAGACTTGGGGCGTGGGAACAGGAAAGGGAGGGGGTACCGGGTACCGGAAAGCATTTTTTATAGACAGTTCAACAAGGCATATCATATAAATACCACTGGGTCTCATTCAATACTCGGGATTTATCTATTACTGACCCCGCGTGCCTGATTCACCGAGGCCCCTCGGATAATCGCGGCGCAGGTAGTTTCGAGTTGCCACGTCTGATGCAGGATACGTGGTAACCATGTTTGGAGAAAAGAGTATAGGTAGCTACCCTCGACATTCTCTAACGTGGCATGTTGCCAAAACAGCCACCTGATATCATTTCAAGTGAGCATCCATCCCATCCTATACACTACTGGACATGTAGCTATACCTTGCCGGGCGAGGAATACTCGTCAACACATACCAATCAATACATAAATAAGCATGGCACAAAACAAACTTTCTTTTTTTTTTCTTTTTCGGGGTGTATTAATTAATAAACTTGCTCGTAGTCCAGTCTAGTCACACGCAAACCAAGCACTCGTTTCATCAACGAGTTACGTGTTAAAAGCAAAATATTTCGGCCTTCTAGGCGCCGTCAAGTATCAAGTCCGTCGTGTCAAAGCGTCTCCAACCACCTTCTACCATCTACCATTTCTACCAACTCCCAGAGTCCCAAAAATAGCAGCCACACAACAGCCTAAGCAGCCTCAATCTCACATAATGATAATCAGTTACCCTTTGACTGCGTGCAGTTTTTGATGCAGATGTGTGCGTGAGGAATCTAGAATACAGGGACCGGCATCGCGTCCTTAATTACATAGCCACATAGCTTAGTCATAGAGATCATCATCGTTGCCGGCATCACCGAACCCATTCCCGCCGTTGCCAGAAGCCTGCCCGTCAGTACCGTCAGGGAACTTGAAGAAGGCACCTGGTCCAGCATTCTTCATTTGCTGGGCAAAGGCCTCGTACCGGCGGATCTCAACGTCACTAACGGACTTGCGAGCCATCTGCATAGCTTCCTCGAAGTGAGCCTTGGTCAGCTCCGGAACGGGGTCCTCACTGTCTTCGTCCATGTCCATCTCGTCACCAGCAGCCTCACGAGCCTTGGTGCGCTCGATATCAGCAGAGATGGCTTCTTTAATGGCGATCTTGACAGCACGCTGAGTGATGAATCCAAGATCAGCACCAGAGAAACCATTGGTCTTGCTGGCAATATACCCTAGGTCAATATCTGAGGCCATAGGGGTCTTGCGCAACTGAGCCTTGAGAATGCTCAGACGACCGGGCTCGTCGGGAAGAGGGACATAGATGAGCGAATCAAGACGTCCAGGACGGCACAACGCAGGGTCAAGCTGCTCGGGTCTGTTGGTGGCACCAATAACGAAGACGTTCTTCTTTGAGGTCATGCCATCCATTTCTAAATGAGGAAAAAAAGGCCGATGTTAGTCACATAAAATTCATCGAATCCTAGAGGCTCTTGAGCAACTTACCCGTCAAAAGCTGGTTGACAACACGGTCGGAAGCACCACCGGCATCACCAACAGAGCCACCTCGGGCCTTGGCAATAGAATCCAATTCATCAAGGAAGACAATGCAAGGAGCGGCGGCACGAGCCTTGTCGAAAATGTCACGAATATTACTTTCCGATTCACCAAACCACATACTGAGCAATTCGGGACCCTTGACTGAGATAAAGTTGGCAGCGCACTCGTTGGCAACAGCCTTGGCCAACATAGTTTTACCAGTACCGGGAGGGCCATAGAACAGCACACCTCGAGAGGGAGAAAGACCAAACTTGAGGAATTTCTCGGGGTGGTCGACGGGGTACTGGACCTGCTCTCGGAGGTCCTGCTTGACAGCCTCAAGGCCACCGATATCTTCCCAGCGAACGTTGGGAACCTCCACGACGGCCACCTCGCGCAAGGCAGAGGGGTTGGAAACGCCGAGGGCAAAGCGGAAATTTTCCATGGTAACACCAAGGGAATCGAGGACCTCTGCGTCGATGGTGTCCTCATCAAGATCAATGAGATCCATTTTCTCGCGAATCTGCTGCATGGCAGCCTCGGAGCAGAGGGCAGCCACATCAGAACCAACATAACCATGGGTCTCAGCGGCAATCTGCTCCAAATCAACATCATCGCCGAGCTTCATGTTCTTGGTATGAATCTGAAGAATTTCGAGACGACCAGTGGGGTCAGGAACACCAATATCCACCTCACGGTCGAAGCGACCGAATCGTCGAAGAGCAGGGTCGATAGAGTTGGGTCGGTTGGTGGCGGCCATGACGACAACGTTGGATCGGGCCTTCATGCCGTCCATGAGGGTCAGAAGCTGAGATACGACACGTCGCTCGACTTCACCGTTGGTCTTCTCTCGTTTGGGGGCAATTGAGTCGATTTCGTCGATGAAGATGATGGCGGGCGAGTTCTTCTCAGCTTCCTCGAAAGCTTTTCGCAGATTTGATTCTGATTCACCAGCCATCTTGGACATAATCTCGGGACCATTGATGAGGAAAAAGAATGCACCAGTTTCGTTTGCGACGGCACGGGCCATGAGCGTCTTACCAGTACCAGGAGGACCGTAGAGCAAGACACCACGAGGGGGCTTGATGCCAATAGACTTGAACAACTGAGGGTGACGGAGAGGCAGCTCTACCATCTCTCTGATTTGGGCCATTTGCTTGCGGCAACCACCGATGTCGTCATAGCCAACCTCGTTCAAATTGTTCTCTTCCTCATCTCGCTCGATAGGGTCGCCTTCGCAGTGAATGACTGTGTCTTGTGCAACAATACCGTACTCTGGGGGGTCGACCTCTACCACCTTAAACTCCACTTGCCGCATACCACCACGTACAATGAAGAGATCGCCTTGCCGGACTGGTCGATAAGCCTCACGGAAGTAAGGGGCAAGGAAGACGTCAAACAAAGAGCCAGTGATGCCCTCGACGGTGTCGGCAATGGGCAACACGGCGATTCTCTTGGCCTGCTTGGTGTCAGCATTTTGTTCTTTTCTCACAAAATTGGATGTTGGTAAAAAATGTTTAGACTCACGTATTTGATATCGGGGCAAGGAAGGATGGTGATCATGTCGCCGTGCTTGACACGGAGGTTGTGTCGAACAACTCGGTTAATGCGGGCGCTACCGTCATCAAGCTCCTCATCGGCCAGGACAATGAGGACGGTGTCCTTTCTCTTCTTGCCTCGGACAAGAACTGTGTCACCTCTGAATAACTGCAGGGCATCCATTGTAGCTTCGGACAAGGCAATGATGCTGTTATCATCGTTGACGGCATCGGTGACCCTGAAAAGGCGGAGTTAGCCATGACTTTGATGCTACACCAAATTGGCAGCGTGGGGAAAAGCATACATCAGCTGGTTGGGCTTCTTCTTCTTCTTGAGAATCGCAGTCGCGGTATCATCCTCCTGTAAGGTAGTTAGTTGCTGCGGTGCTGGACACTTTGATGTTGGGAGGGTAGGGCGTTTTACGGACATGTTTGACATCCGCGCCGGAAGCGTCGCTACAAACGCAGGTTAGTATGATGATTCTCGCCTTCAAACGGCAGCCCGGTTGCGCGGAACGCATCGAATGAGGAGGCAAACTCACGTCAAATTAACCTTCTTCTTGTGCTCGTCATGATGGGAGGCCATGGTGTCTGATGTGCCTCAGCGAAGTTGCTGTTCGGTTCAGAGAGGTTTGGAAACGTGGCCGCGGGCAGACGAGTGTGAGTATTGTATCTACAACAGGCTCACGTCTTTCGGGGTCTAGCTCCCAAAAACGTGAATGTGAAGAGATGAAATTGTATATGCAAGGGAGAAAACACTGGTTGAGAGATGAGAGGTGAGAATGGGGAAGAGAAGGTGTGAAGGTCGAAAGAAGTTGAAATGGCAAAGTCGAGGTCGAAGCACAACCCGCACCGTCGATACGTACTTACTAGGCCCCCGGGGAGGCGACAACACCTGGGCAAAATGGCGGAACGTGCAAGTACTGACTACCTAGTGATGCGGCGGACGAGCCACCATAGCTGCTGTATGGAGTACCCGAGTATCTACCTTCTGGATTACTCACAGGCATCCAGCACAATCCATTACCAGCTGCCAGCCCAGAGGGAGCATACCAGCAGACCAATGACATCGCTGCGCGCCCTGACCGGAGGCGGAACATTGATGATGCAGGCTCCGAGCAGAGCCAAAAAGGGCGGAATACACCCCACCATGGGCCAAGGTGACTGGACGACTGTGGTGGAAGGACAGAGAAGCTTCCACTTTTCGCCTCCATGTCTGCGTGGCAGGCAGCGGGCAGTACGTCAGATGTGATTCACCTGGAGCTCTCGCTGCGAGGTCGCTCGGAGCACTTGAGTAAGCATAGAAGACGGACCCGCATTTCTGGAGTCCACACAGAGGGTCACGGCGACACCAAGGAACATTGAACGACCGTTGATGCTCTTTTCGATGTCGTTCGTTCGCGAAATTTCGATTCAAACGCACACCTGTCATTTATTATTACAATTTACATCATGCATTGCTCCTGCATGCGTAAATCCTTTTCCATGATATTTTTCAGGGGTCAGCAGACTCTTGTACGCACTTAGCAGTATCAACACCGCTATCGTATCATTCTTCCCACTCCGTGGCACTCTTGAGCCTTGGATATCGCAATGCAGGACGCTCGGCGTTGATGCCAGCGGGGAGTGGGCTTGTGAGCCGCCAAGAGACACATCAGAGGCACCAGTCACCCGGCACACTCATCCTAACGAATCAAACATGACACTCATGCCTAGCCGACTCTTGACTTGTCGTAGAACAATATCTTCCATATTGTATCCGCCGTGCCCATACCGTCACCTCGACTGTGGAGACTAACAAGGAGGAATGCGATTACTGCACTTCGCAGGCTGCTCTTTGACATTCCGTAAGCCTTGACTAGGAACAGGTTCCTTTCCGCAGGCGTGACGACGATGGCAGCTTCGATAAGATTCGCCCCGCCACTTCGTTAATGAATCTTGCAAAATGCTTGATCTTTTTTTAGTAGAATTGCCGAGAATCGTAAATACTGCACAGACGAAAGACTGATAACGGAAGAATGGGAAATGTTCAAAGCCCTGTTCGATGGAGTGGCGAACTATTGACCACACTCCATTTGCAAGTATGCTGCTTGGTACAAGTGCAACACTCATTTGGAAAGTCGGCTCGAGATGGATCGTCAAACAAGTAGAAAATTTGGAGGTGAGGACGTGCCAAGGATACATAATGCGACATAATTGTTCTTAAGGCACTTAGCTCAAATTCTGGGCCAAGTTTACTTCGCAGTCATATAATTTACGGAAATTAGACACGTTGATATTCTCTTCGAGTTCTTCGAGCGTGGTATGGCGCAGTCGATATAAGACGGCTTGGTCTCAGGATGAGGCGCTATCCAACTCAACACCCCTCAACGTACGCGAGACTCTGTACCGGAAGAATTTAAAACGTGGATGAACGTTCATAAACGAATCCGCTAGACCAGAAAGTGTCGCCCTGGAAATCTCGTCGTTTCCGCCATCTTGGGTTTGCAGTTATGCTGGTTGGTAGGTGACGATGGGCAGTCTTTTGACACACTGACAAAATGATGCCTCAAGGCGGTAAAGTTTGGCACTTTTAGGTTTTACCCAATAAGCAGACGGTACTCACCCGTGAGCAACAATATAGCAAAACTTGCAGGTATGCACCCATTTCACAAGCTCAAAACTCATTCGGTTTCAAGGGTACTCTCACCAAGTATTGAGCATGAAGGGCATGATCAAGTCCCATCTGGATGGCCACCTGAAGCATCAAGCCCTGCCACAATGAACGTCAGATCGGCTGTACTGCTACTTGTCGGGAGCCGCCATGTCCACGAAGACTAGGGCCTGTACAGCTGCCAGAGAGTATGATATCGAACGAACAAATAGTATCTGGTCGAATTTGATAGCATCCGGCGAGAAGAATTTGCTATAACCACCCAGAAGAGCAATTCCGACAATTAATCATATTTGTGAGGCGGCCTGGTTGCATCGATAGTGGGCAGAAAGGGACTGCGCAAGGTAGCTGGATGAATACGACTTAGGCTGCCAATAGGAAATAAAGAGGCCAACGGTTTGGTCAAACTTTACGTTGTAAAAGGCTGTTCAACTTCCACAGCAGTTAGCACAGTATCATCTAATGCGTGAGGGCGTTCCGCAAGGTTAGAAACGAGCCGTGAACGGATTGGATCCTCTACGCCTGGCCTGATGATCACGGTCGCGTTGGAAGGCTCGCCAGTGGGATCAGGCAATTTTGTCCCGGAGTTAGTTGATAAATTTCCGGGAGACCCTTTTTGAAGCTGCTATTCTCGAGCTTTCGATTCCAGATACGCCTGGCGCCGGAGCTGCTGGGACCGAGGATGAGAATCCTCAAGTTCATGATTGTAACTCCCGTGTCAGTTCACGGACTTGCTTTTCTAAATTGGGAGAGCGCCTACGATTCTCAGCATAGCAGGAAGGGCCAAGGCAAGAACAAAGGGCGAAACAACAAATCTTTTCGCCCCAGTTTACCGAAAGCCAGCGTCGACTTGACACCCCAGGTCAAAGCGTCGGCAGCGAAAGCATTTCTCGCGATCTGCAATTCCGACACGGGATGCTAGCAAGCTGTATCGTAGCTATGGATTTTGATCAGTATGCCTAGGCACATGGTTTCATTGTTCATCATAGTATGACATCCTTTTGGGGTTTGCATTTATTACATGCGCTTCGCCGACCGGTGTTGTCGGATGCTGGTCTTGGCCTCGTTCCGATATGCCTTGCAGAATAATGTCCGATTTGGGGAATTCCTCGCCGCACCATATGTGCTGTGTAACTCACCCAATACGACTACTGTAGTATCGCAATATAAAGATATATATTGCCCCTGTCAACCAAAATTACGAGATTGTAATCAAAATGGTGACCGCGACTTCACGAGACTGCCGTGGCTTACACCCCTCAAGATGTCATTCGAATCCACCAGACCCAATCACCATGGACATTCCGGTCCGATCGGACACATGTAGACGCAAGCTGGTAGGAATGGTGCTGCATAGAACGGATTACCCGTCAGCGACCACAAACTGATCCTTCTAGTGTAATGTCTGCTTCCTTCGAAAATGAGTGCCCCCCGGGGTAGCCAGAAGGGACAAATACATATCAATTTTGCCAGAGAAACTTTGCGTTCTGTGAAAAATGCAACCAGACTTGCGGCCTGGAGAAGAGACCCGTCGGAATGATCATCTGAAGATGGTGTTCAATCGCTTGGATTGCAACTTTCCCCGTGTTCAAGATCAGCAAGCATCGATTTGAACATCTAGCCTGCGTTTCTTCCGTGTTCTCGTTTGCGTCAACTCCCCCTCGCCCACCCGAAGATCAGCTAATACTCCGTACTGAACTTGAGAAAACGAAGTTACAGCGGAAACGGGTCACTGAGATAGCCAGAAGTCACAGTCCGCGAACTTGGACTAGTCCCAGCCAGGCACGTCATTCTGTCAGCGAACCTCGTCTCATAAAACCGTCAGCAACGTTGGCGCATTAAAAAAAAACTTCCAACCGACACGCTGCCAAGGCAAAGTCACAGCCCCCAATCAAAGGTCCGCCCAATTTAGAATGGCATTAGTGTCCAGACCACTGGGGAGGACGGAAGGTGAAAGAAACAGAACGGTATGCCACTACTAGACTTTCCGCACCTTGGCTGACATCTGGAGGCACTAGAACAGTACCCTCCGCACATGGGCAATCCGGTCTTCTCTCAATGCATAGGTTTAATTGCGCTCGCCCAGCACTCGGCGGCGAAGGACCCTTGTACTGATGCAGGTTCTTCTGTGGTGCAACTTGCTGTGAATCTGTTATGTATGTAAGTTATGTATGTATGTATGTCCGGCGCACTCCGTACACGCTATGCTGGACTTTACGACGAGCTTTCATCGATCAGGCCATGGTTCAACACTTTTAGTGTAGCCACGAGTGGACTTGAGTTCGCATGGTGCACCGTGGACCGGAACCTCGTGGGACCTGAGATTCACATCAGACACTCTGACTTGCACAAAAGAAACCTCGCTTGCGCCGAGCGTACGGCCACGGCAGCCAAAGCAGCCACGTGGGAGCATTGCTCAAATCGGGCCAGGTCAGGTAGGATTGATACTAGTGATACCATCAAGATGAAAATCATGAGCACCACAGGCCTCATGTTTCCTCTGGTCACAGCCAAGGTCACGCCACTGGCACGGCCACGGCCCCAGGCTGAAGATCAGGATTCGAGATTCACGGCCCTGCATTACAGGTCCCTTGTCCACGATATGGTGGGACTTATTGGTGCCCGCCTGACTAGGGCCTTCAGGAGCTTCAGGAGCGTCAGAAGCGTCAGGAGTATCAGGACCGACGAGTTGCGGGCACCCAGACGGCACCAGACGGGCCTCCGATGCTCGTCCGCGAAGATTAAACGAGTAATGATGAGTTATGGGCGTGTATGAATTTTTGATGAGCATGGACAGGCTCTCCTCGTGCACTTGAACCCATGCTACCCACACTCACTGAGAATGGTTGCGAGTTGCACATGCCCGTAGTTGACAGGGCCTGGAGTGCCGGCGTATTTGCGTGCGCAGCTATTTGGCGCACTGTACAGAATCA